GTGCAAATAAACCAGTGAAGAGGTGAGCGTTGAGACAGACTGCGCAGGTCCCGGCGCATTTGTGCTCAGATAAACAGGTGGGGGTGAGTGGTGAGGCGGACTGGGCGAGGGGAGAGGACCGCCATTGCTTCCTCTCTGACTCCACTCCCACATACAGCATCACAAACCAGCAACCTGGGTGGCCCCTTCCTGGTAAACAACTAAGGCTCCACTCCTCATACGTTAACAGGCCCGAACAGATAAAAACATGGCTCAAGAACAATTCAGAGCCCCAGAGCCAATAAATCTAAGTGATGAAGAAATAGCCAAACTTTCAGATGCACAGTTCAAAACACTGGTGATCAGGATGCTCACAGAACTGGTTGATTTTACTCACAAATTAGAGGAACATATGAAGGCTAAACTAATTGAAATGAAGGGAAATGCACAGGAAACCAATAGTAATGGAAAGGAAACTGGGACTCAAATCAAGGGAGTGGTCCAGAGGAAGAAAAAAATGCCCACACAGAAAAATATGAAGAAACAAGAATTCAAAAAAATGAGGAGAGGCTTAGGAACCTCCAGGACATCTTTAAACACTCCAACATCTGAATTATAGGGCTACCAAAAGGGGAAGAGAAAGAGCAAGTGGAAAACTTATTTGAACAAATAATAAAGAACTTCCCCAATATGGCAAAGGAAATAGACTTCCAGGAAATCCAGGAAGCTCAGAGTCCCAAAGAAGGTAGACCCAAGAAGGAACACACCAAGGCACATCATCATTATATTAGCCAAGATTAAAATGAAGGAGAGAATCCTAGAAGCAGCAAGAGATAAGGGGACAGTCACCTACACAGGAGTTCCCATCAGACTGTCAGCGGATTTCTTAAAAGAGACCTTACAGGCAAGAAGGGGCTGGAAAGAGGTATTCCAAGTCATGAAAACCAAAGACCTACAACCAAGATTGCTCTATCCAGCAGGTTTCATTTAGAATGGAAGGACAGATAAAGTGCTTCTCAGATAAGACCAAATTCAAGGAGTTCATCATCACCAAGCCCTTATTACATGAAATGTTAAAGGGATTTACCTAAGAAAAAGAAGATAAAAAAGATGAACAGTGAAAGGATAGCAAACTCACAGTTATCAACAACCCCCCCTAAAACAAAAGCAAATTAAGAGGACAGCTAGATCAGGAGTGAACCATAGACATGAAGATCACATGGAGGGTTAGCAACAGGGGAGTGGGAGGAGGAGAAGGGGGGAGAAGGTACAGAAAATATGTAGCATAGACAGTAGATAGAAAATAGATGGGGGAAGGGTAAGAATAGTAGGGGAAATATAGAATCTAAAGAACTTGAGACATGTATTCATGAACTAAAGAGGGGGGGAATGGTGGGGGAGGGGTGTGCAGGGTGGAGGGGAACGGAGGGGGGGGAATAGAACAACTGTAATGGCATAATCAATAAAAAAATGAAAAAAATAAATAGTAACAATTAAAGAAAAACAGATTTGCAAGCAAAAAAAAAATTACAACTATAGACCAACCATTACTGAGAACTACCAGAAATCAAGTTGAATGGAAATCTGACAACTATGGAATTAAAGAAACCATATCTATCCAGACTACTAGGTACAGGCAGAAAGGTCTGGTCCCAAATCCACGTGTGATGGATAGAAATTCAGGGGGGATATTTAGAAGCAAATGGTCCCAGCCCCACCTCCAGCCCAGGGTTCCAGTGCCAGAAAAATTGATCCCTGCAACTTCTGGCTGCAAAAATCAACAGGAATTGAGTCAGTGGAAGAAAATTCTGGCAGTTCCTCTTAAAGAACCCATACATAGACTTACTCAGACTCACTCCTTCTGAGCTCCAGCATGGGGTAGCAGCTTGAAAGGAACCATCAGCATGAGGAAGAACTGACGTGTCTGGCATCAAGGTGGGAGCAGGGGGATAGCTTTCTCCCAGACAGAAAGTCAGGCCATTGCCCCTTTCTGAACCCTCCTCCCCACAGAGCCATACAGCCAGGTTAATGGAATCTCAGATATGGCACCTACCACAGGTAGGTGCCATATCTGAGATTCCATTAACCTGGCTAACACTATAACCCTACCCAACATACAGGCCCACCACACTGTTAACCTAAACTTTTACATATAAATAGCTGATCTTGGCTCATGCTTCACAACTTCCTAAATCCTCTCAAACAAGCAACAGCTGGCCTCAGTGAGCCTTCCAGCCCTGTACCTCTTGCTACATGGCCCCAAGCTCAGCACTAGCAGCAGCCAGCCTAGATTCACAGCTTGGCTTTGCCTGGGAATCTCCAAGCACAGCACAAGTAGCAGCCAACTCAGATTGCTTTACAGCTCAGTAGAATGGCCCCAGGCAAAACACAGCTAGGGGCTGACGTTGGTCTGCACCACTCAGGAAACCCCAGAGTCTAAGCATCCAGTGTACAGCTACAGACACACTGGAGCACCACCACCCTGCCCCTGCACAGCTGATCCTACATGAAAGGCAGAGGCTGATAGTCAATGGTCCCAGCCAATCCTTGCAGCTGACTGGCCTAGACAAATTCCTCTAATTGACCTGCCAACAGCACCAAGACTCCTCTACAAGAGGAGGGTGTACTAAGCTCACACAAAGGGTACAACTCGACCACACAGCTTAGGTGTTATGGGAGACAGTGCCACTGTACCCTACAGGTCACCTACTATGTTAGGCCACACTACCAAGACATAGAGTCAAAGCAACTCTACCTAATACACAGAAACAAACACAGGGAAGCTACCAAAACAAGGAGACAAATATAGCCCAAATGAAAGAACAGATGTGAACTCCAGAAAAAGAGCTAAAGGAAATGGAGACAAGCAATCTATCAGATGCAGGGTTCCAAACACTGGTTATAAGGGTGCTCAAGGAACTTAGTGAGAACTTCAACAGCATAAAAAAGATTCAGTCAGAAATGAAGGACACACTAATTGCAATAAAGGACAATTTACTAGGAAACAACAGTAGAGTGGATGGAGCCAATTATCAGATCAATAATTTGGAACATAAGGAAACAAAAAACAACCAATCAGAAAAAGGAAAAAAAATCCAAAAATCAAGGATAGTGTTAGCAGCCTCTGGGACAACTTCAAACATTCCAACATTCACATCATAGGGGTGCAAGGAGGAGAAGAGTAAGAGCAAGAAACTGGAAATCTATTTGAAAAAATAGTGAAGGAAAACTTCCCTACTTTGGTGAAGGAAATAGACATGCAAGTCCACCAGTAAACACAAAGACACCCAAACAAGATGAATGCAAAGAGGCCCACTACAAGACATATCATAACTAAAATGCTGAAGGTTAAAGATAAAGCAGGGATCTACAGCCAAGACTTTGCCACCCAGCAAAGATATAATTTAGAATGGAAGGGCACATAAAGAGCTTCCCGAACAAGAAAAACTAAAGGAGCTCATGATCACGAAACTATTACTACATGAAATGTTAAAGAGACTTATTTAAGAAACAGAAAACGATCAAAACTAGAAACAATAAAATGGCAATAAACACATACCTGTGAACAACTGTGAACTGAATAAAAAAATAACAAACTAAGCAAATAAGGAGAACAGAGACAGAATCATGGATACAGAGAGCATTTTGATGATTGTCAGATGGGAGGGGAATGTGGGGGAACAGGAGAACAGATAAGGGGATTAAGAAGTACCTGTAGGTATTTACAGAATAGCCTTGGGGAGGTAAAGTACAATATGGAAAATGGAGTAGCAGTCAAAGAACTTCTGAGCATGAACCACAGACATGACCAATGGTGTGGAGGCTGCCTGAGGGAGTGGGGGATGCTTGGTGGAAGGGAGCAAAGAGAGAAAAACTGGGAGAAGAGTAATGGCATAATTAATAAAATATAATTTTTAAAAAAGGAAAATAAAATAAAATCTATACCAAGCACAACATGCTGTATACTGGTTTTCATTTCCCTAGATTATTTAACTTGCATTAATCTTCTTTCTCCACTTTGATAGTTTGTGGTTCATTATTCATAATCCTCTGTCTACCACAGTGTATCACTGTGAAACCAAGCAGAAAACTACTTCCAGAGAAATTAAAAGCATGAAAAAAAATTATTACCAGAAGATATGATTTAACAGAGTTAACATACTTGCAAGTTTAAAGACTTGCATTGTTATTGTTTATGTTGTATTAAGCTCTTACCAGCTCAACTAAATGGAAGCTTTTTGAAAATAAAGAGAAGTTAACTTTTCTATATTCCCATAAAAATTTGATAAATCATTAGCCACTTAGTCTGATAAATCTTCTAATTAGATAAAGTTCTTCTGAGTAACAACCTTACTATATCTTTGAACAACAAAGCAATGCTTTCCAGGCAAGGTACATACCTATTCTGGACATTTTCTCTTACTTAGATATTCCTTCCTATGAGGATATCTCCCTCCCTCCCACTCATTTTTTTTTTCTGCGGCAGATGTAGTCCCCTATTCAATCTGGGCTGCCACAAAGACAGGCAGAAAGCACAGGGATTTTTTCCTTTTGCATCCTAGTGCAAACCAAAAGAACAATGTTAGATTTTTCAAGCTCTATCAGTGGATGCAATCCCTCCCACTCCTTTCTCCCAGTTAAAAACTCTACTATAGTAAGCCACTGTGACTGATGAACCTATGTCACAGTATTTAGCAGATGTAGGTCAAATGTTTTAAAAAAATGGGACAGCCCTGGCTGGGTAGCTCAGTGGGTTAGAGTGTCATCCCACTACACACACCAAGGTTAAGGGTCCCATATCTGGTCAGAGGACATACAAGAAACAACCAATGAGTGAACAGAAGTCAATGTTTCTCTCTTCTCTCCTCTTCCCTCTTTTTTCCTCTCTCAAAATCAATAAAGACAAAAATGTTTTAAACAACAAAATTAAAATCAGAATATAGGACAACATGAATATAATCAAATTTAGAGGAAAAAGAATTTCCAGCATCATCTATGGACAAATCCTCAAATACACTTACCATAATCAGCAGGTGTATAATTCAGAAGTTCAAATTTCCAGTGTTTATAGCCTGAATAATTTTGGTACATGTCAAATATTTCACGAGTAAATTGTTGGCAAATATCACCTAAAACAAAATACAAAAAATATTCAGTCAGCAATTATTTCCAAGAGAACCAGTCTTAATTAGGCCCCTTAGGAAACTGTTAACTACTTCAAAAGTGAAATGTTTAAAGTGACAGTGTGTCTAATCAAAGTAAAATTTAGATTATTTCATGGACTATTTATTAAGAAAATTACTGACCTCCAGTAGTTCTTCCAGATGTCACCTCTAAAATAACATCATTTTTGTCATATTTCTCCTTTGGCACTAGATTCCGGATAAGCTAAAAAATGGAAAAACTATAAGTATTAGTATCTATATGTTCCATGGTATATATACCATTATTACTTGAACTTTGATAAAAGACCCCCAAATATTAAAAAATATTCAGTAATTAACAAAAATCACATAGTACACCAGTGAAGTCAACTCCTAAAGTGCTTTAATAAGTAGACCTAATTAGACCTAAAATAAGTCATCAATTCACATTAACAATGAAGTTACTTGTCAGGATGTTCTCCACAATGCTATCAGATTAACTTAATTTTCTAAAATACAGAAATTTAGATCAAAGTACAGTGTCCCATTCAATTTTCTTCAGGTTTTGCCTGTCATTAGTTCTGAACAGTAGCTTCTTTCATCTAGTGAATGAAGTAAAGCTTTGAGAGTCTTCTTTTTACATCATTGCATATTCTCTTCTGCCATAAATGACAGCAAAACACCAGGCTATGCCCTGACTCCTCAGTAATTACTTTGTTTAAAGAGTATGTTGAGGAATCCCAAGATGAGGCTCAAATAGTTTCTTAGCTGTGACAAGAAAAAGGGGCATCCTAATAAAGTAACCAACTTTCCTCTTAGAAAGAAAAGGGAATTTTATTTGTATTATTACTAAAAAGTCTTTCAAATTCAACTAAAAGCACATATTTGTCATGATACTCCCTACTGTTGATTTTTGAAATACATCCTCCATCTCTACTAGTAATGGAAGAGAGTATTAGAATATAATACAGAATATATTAGAGTCAGACATCTTTGATTTGCTGGTTAAATCAGTGACAAAAATAACCAACACCTCATCGCCTTCAGCTCCTAAAAAACTCCTCTATTGGATTCCCAGAGTAGGAAAGACTGAAGTCAGGAAGATGGCAAATGTGACAGAGGGGAGCATGGTATACAGTTCTATGATTTCAGACAAATCATCCATTGAGCTGGAAGAAGCTACAATAAGTACTTGTGTTAACTGTCTCTATACCCTTGTATTCATTCCATTCTATCCAGAATGTAAATTTTCAACCCTTAATTAACACAATCACCATGAACCATACCCCCTTTCTAAGACTTAGAAACCCCTAATGCTCCCCATTGGTGAACAAAATTTCTTCATGAGCATGTGTTCCTTTGCCTGGCAAGTTAGTAAATTCAATTTTAGAATATTGCTGCTAGGGGGTGGAGGAGTGTTTTATTCTTTGATATCTATCACAATCTCTTCAATCTCACTCTATAGCAAATTACAGCACTAAACCCCAACTAATCACTTATGGTAAGAGAAGACTTAACAAATTGCTGTTTGGAAAGCACTTTGAGCACCAATGCATAATCTAGCGAGAAAAATATTCTTTTATATTAACACTATGTATGAAGATTAGTTTACCTCCTAAAACATACCTCACTGTATAACACATTGATTTTTTGAGCAATGGTTTGCCTCTCTTCCAATGCAAGTTCTTGTAACTGCTTTTCATCTTGTTTACTTAGACCTACAAACCAACAACAGTAATAATGGTAAACGTTTTTAAATACAGAGAATCTCTTAAATAGCTACCTAATATCTGACTACTGAGCTTTATTTCAGTTGCGAAGGTAAGAGATTATATAAAAGAAGTTAGAATAGTTAAGAGAATGTCAATAAACAAGCATTTGTAAAGTATTTCCCAAAAAAAATCCAGTATGAAAAGAAGCATGATCTTGACCCAGAAGCTTGTGATTTGAATGTTTGTAATTATAGAAATTAGTAACTAATCAAACGGGTTTAAAAAGGGACTAATTAAATATAAACCCCCAAAACATAAGTTTTGGAGTAAATTGGGGTGACCACTTCTTGTCTAAAGGTGGCAACTATCACCCAGGACACTGTGAATAATCCAGCATGGCTAACGCCTCCATTTTTGTAGAGTAAAGGTAGCCAGTAGCAGAACTGTAGAGGAGTTTAGGAACAATCTAATCCAATCTGATCTTATACATGATACAACCAAAGCTGAAAGAAGTTATTGTAATTCAATGTAGAAAGCATTCAGTAAGCTCCTATTATGTGTGAGGAACTTGCCCAAAATTAATTACAAACTTGAGTGGCATTATGCAAAAAGAGTAAAAAATAATCCTCAGTAAGTGTGGGTGAGATATTTGTGGTGCAACCCACAGAAGACAGAAAAATATAAGGCTCTGAACACACAGGACTTCACAGGTGTAATTATGACTAGCCTTGATACTGCTTAACATTTCTAAGGCTTAATTAAATAGGACAGAGCACAGAAGAAAGTTTAGTAACTAAAAGCCAATAGCAAAATCTGGATAAATGTTGAATCCTAGGTTAGTCCATTATGCTTCTTTCAACTTCTGCATATTCTGAAAAGTTTTCCTTAGAGAAAAAATATTAAGCCAATAGCAACGTTAAGTACTAAATAGTACTAAAATTAAAAATAAATACTTTTGACATCATAAACAAAATTAACTCAAGTAAATCAAGACCTGAATGTAAGGGCTAAAAATATATAAAACTCTTGGAAGAAAACAAGATACAAACCTTTGTGACCTTAGATTATATAGTATTTTCTTAGATATTACACTGATAACACGAGCAACAAAAGAATAAAAAGATAAATCAACATCAAAATTTTAAAGTGTAATGTTTTAAAGAACAATCCACAGAGTAAGAGAAAAATTTCTGCAAATCATATCTGATAAAAAACTTATGTCTAATATATAAAGAGCTCCTACAAATCAATACTAAAAAGACAAATAACTCAATGGACAAAGGATCTGAACAGTTATTTATCCAAAGATGATAAGGCAATTGGGCACACAAAAAAAAGCTCAATATCATTAATGAGGCAGGGAAAATCAAATGAAAGTCATGAGGAGATAGCACTGAACACCCAGTAGGATCAGTAGAATCAAAGGGGAAGATAACAAGGATAGGCAAGGATGTGGAGAAATTAGAACCCTCACACAGGGGTAGAATGAAAATAGTGCAGCCACTTTGGAAAACAGTCTGACAGTTCCTCACGAGGTTAAACATGGAGTTATGATACAACTCAGCAATCTATGGCCACATCAAAACTTGTACACAAATGTTCACTGCAGCACTGTTCATAATGATCAAAAAGTGAAAGCAACTCAATATCCATCAAGTGATGAATAAATAAAATGAAATGTGGTATACCTATACCATGAAATATAACTCAGCAATAAAAAAAATGACGTATGCACCCTGGTTGGTGCGGCTCACTGGACTGAGCACTGGCCTGCGAACCGAAGGGTTGTCGGTTCAATTTTCAGCACATGCCTGGGTTGCTGGCCAGATACCCAGTAGGGGGCATGTGAGAGGCAACCACACATTGATGTTTCCCTCTTTCTCCCATCTCTCTAAAAATAAATAAATAAAATCTTTTAAAAAAGATAGAAAAAGAAGTATGGATATAGGCTTCAACAGAGATGAACCTTTAGAGTATTATCCTACGTGGGAAAAAAGCCAGGCACAGCCAGGGCCGGTAGCTCAGTGGGTTAGAATATTGTCCTGATATGCCAAGATGTGGGTTCAATCCCTTGCTCAGGGCACATACAAGAAGCAACCAATGAATGCATAAATAAGTGGAAAAAGAAATCAATGTGCTTTTTTTTCTTTCTCTCTCCCCCCGCTCTCTTTTTCTATAGTCAATAATTTTTTTAAAAGCCAGTCACAAAGGACAACATACTATATGATTCAACCATTTATATAAAATGCCTGAAGTAAGTATATCTACAGAGACAGAAAGTAGATTAGTGGTTGCCTAGGGATGGTAGGGCAGGGAGGGACTGGGATGAGATGGCTGGAGGGTGATGAAATACCTACACCAAATAAACCCTTTAATGGGGTAGGCACTGTATTTTTGAGTCCCTGGTATATAGCACTGTAGGACAGTGCTCAGTAAAGGCCTATGCAAGAAATTAAAGCTTCTGAAGAGGTCAGTAGTCGGTCTCCCAGACCCTAAAACTTGTTGGCAAGAACCACAAGGAGTTCAGTCTCTCAGCTACTAAATAACAACTACTAAAATACTTCAAACACCCAGAGTACAGAGTCCTATCCTTTCCAAGTACAGAGCTTATTACTTGTAGGCTTTTTAAAGACTGAGTTCAGTAGAAGTTTAACTTAGAAAATCGATCCTGTACTTGAACACACACACATCTTTTACTTACTTTTACACATTGATTCTAACTCTTCAATCGCTTGTTCGGCCTTGTGAATCTCTTGGTAAATGGCTGCAAGTGGTGCCAACTCGGCATGTCTTTGATTCAAGGGCCTTTGGTCCCCTTGATTCACAGAGATATGCTGCAAACACCGATCAAGTGTTTGGTACTCTTTATTCAGGTCCTCCATATATTTCTGTAGTGCTTTATGCTTCCAGAGCATCCTGGTGTCTTGATGACAGTATCTCCTGGAGCAATTCTTACTTAACGGCTGGAGAATGTGATTCCAGTTTTGTCTAAAACCCCACCGTTGTGTATCAAGATACATCCGTGTAAACTGATGAAAAAGGGGGTACATGTGGCATTGGCAGTAAAGGGGCAGATGTCTAAAAAGCCAAACACTGATGTGACGATTCATCTCAGCATCTGAAATATAATAAAAAACCATGTTCTGGAAAAAAAATAAACTCTACAGATATAATAAAGCTGGAAGGAGCCTTAAGAAATCTTGCTCAGTTTACTGTCTCAGCCAGTTCCCAACATGGTCCCTAAATCCCATAACTCACAAAAAGAAAATAACTCTTCCAACTTCTGAAAGGAATGTGTTAAAATAAATGAAGAAAGCACTGCTTTTTATCCACTCAATATACATAATTAGGAATGAGTAGGAGTGCAACCAATAAATGTATCAACAGATTGGGTTAAATCAGCTATTTTCTAGAAAGTATCCAGAATGTACAATTTAGAGTGTGAACAAGTACTTGAAAGGTGTAAAATAATCATGCAAACTTTAGGTGATCTCTATATTCATAGATTTCTAAAGTATGATGTAAATAATAACTATTTTCTTGTTTAATTCTTTAATTTTAGGTATCCAAATGTCCAAGGAAGCCAAGTAACTTTATCATGATTATTCACTCAGCCAGGGAGACGGAGCTGATTCTAGAACTCCGGTTCCCTATTCAGAGCTCAGGGTTATTCTTTTCCTTCCTTTCTTTAAAAAAAAAAAAAATCCTCACTCAAAGACATGCTTATTAATTTTAGAGTGAGAAAAACGGGGGGAGAAAGAGAGAGAGAGAGAAACATTGATTGGTTGCCTATTGTAAGTGCCCCAACTAGGGACCAAACCCATATCCTAGGCATGTGCTATGGCCAGGAATCGAACCCATAACCTTTCAGTTTATGGGACACAGGGCACCACTGAACCAACTGAGCCACATGGACCAGGGCCAGAGCTCAGTGCTTTTTATTTTCAATTCCACACTCTTCAAAGATACTTACTTCCCTTTTAGCTGAAATCCTAAATGAAGAAAACTTCAAATATTTACAAAAAGAAAGTAGAAGGTCTCAGCTTCTAGTCAAGATGGCGGCATAGGTAGACACAGCTCACCTCTTGATGCAACCACAGCAAAATTACAACTAAAATATACAACAACCATCACTCAGAAATGTCAGAAATCAAGGTGAATGAAGACTGACAACTACAGAATTAAAGAAACTGCACCCATTCAGACTGGCAGGAGGGGTGCAGATGCAGAATGGACTAGCCCCACACCCACATGGATAAATATTTGGGAAAGATATCTCGGGAGTGAGGAGTCCCAGACCCACACCAGGCCCCACCCCAGTCCAGGATTCCAGTGCCAGGAAGATTAAGTCCCCACAACTTGTAGATGAGAAAACCGGTGAGGACTGAGTTGGTGAAGGAGGCCGCTGGAGCTGTAAGTGGTTCCTCTTGGGGAACCCACACATGTACTTAGCTACTCAGACTTGCTCCCTCTGAGCTCCAGCACCAGGGTGGCAGCTTGAAGGGCACCAGTGCTATACAGGGAGAGACCGAAGTGTCTGGCCCTGGGGTGAACAGAAGCCATTGTCCCTTGGCTGAGCCCTCCCCTCACAGAGCCTATAGGTTGGTGCCATATCTTGAGACTCCATCAACCTGGCTAACACTGTGTGACCCACCTTGGAGATCCACAGAGGCTCTATCCCACCCAACTTATGAGCCCACCCAAGCTGCTTTTCCATAGCAATGGCTGGTCTTGGCTCCTAAATCCGATCAAACCATTGAACAACAGCTGGCTTCAGTGAGCCCTAGGGCAGGCTGATTACAGTTACAGCTTAGCTTCACTGGAGAATTTCCAAGCCCAGCACCAGCAGCAGCTATTTCAGATTGCTTTAAAGCTCAGGCAGAGTGCCCTGGGGCAAAACACAGATGGGGGCTGACCCTGGCCTGCACCATCAGGGAAATCTCAGGGACCACAAAGGAGCACCACTGTCCTACTCTTGTATAGCTGATCCTGCACAGAGGGTGGAGGCTGGTAGTCAGTGGTCACTGCCAGACCTTGCAGCTGACTGGCCTTGGTAAATCCCTCCCACTGATCTGCTAATAGCAATCGGGCTCCACTACATGAGGAGGGCGTACTCAGCCCACACAAACAGCACACCTCGAGTACTCAGCTTGGATGATAGGGAGGCTGTGCCACTGGTCACTACTTGAAACCTACTACATTAGGTCACATTGCCAAGAAATGGAGTCAAAGCAGCTCTACCTAATAAATAGAAACAAACACAGGGAAGCTGCCAAAATGGTGAGACAAAGAAACATGGCCCAAATGAAAAAAGATCAAAACTCCAGAAAAAAAGCTAAATGAAATGGAGGTAAGCAGTCTATCATTCAGAGTTCAAAACGATGTTTATAAGGATGTTCAAGGAACTTAGTAAGGACCTCAACAGCATAAAAATGACCCAGTCGGAAACATAGGATACACTAACTGAAATAAAAAACAATTTACAGGGAAACAACAGTAGAATGAAGCCAAGAATAAAAATAATGATTTGGAACATAAAGCAGCAAAAAACAACTCCCCCAAATGAGAATAGTATAAACAGTCTCTGGGACAACATTTGCCTCATAGGGGTGCCACAAGGAAAAAGAAAGAGCAAGAAATTGGAAATCTATCTGAGAAAATAGTGAAAGAAAACTTCCCTAATCTTGTGAAGGAAATAGATATGCAAGTCCAGGAAGTATAGAGAGTCCCAGTTTTGATGAATGCAAAGAGGCCCACTTCAAGTCACATCATTATTAAAAGGCCAAAGGTTAAAGACAGAGAACTCTTAAAATCAAGAGAAAAGAAGTTAGTTACCAGAAGGTTACCAGATGGGAGGGGGGTGGGACAGAATGGGTGAGGGGATTAAGAAGTACAAATAGGTAGTTACAGAAGCCATGGGGATATAAAATACAGTATGGAAAATGGAGTAGCAAAAAAACATATGAATTATCGATGGACATGAACACTGGTAGAGGGATTGTGTGAGGGAGTAGCAAGCACAGGGTGGAGGGGAGCAAAGGTGGAAAAATAAGGACAACTGAAATAGCATAATCAATAAAATATAATTTAAGAAATAGAAAGTAGAAGGTATGGTAATAAAGGGCAATGGTGATTGATAATTACAGTTGGCCCTTAAATAATACAGGTACGAACTACACAGGTCCATCTACACTTTGAATTTTTCAAATAAATATATAATCAGTCCTCTGTATCCCCTGATTTCACGTCCATAGATTAAACCAACTGCAGCTGAAAACGTATTTTCAATCAATTGTTGGGAATCTGTGAAGGCAAATGGCCAACTACATGCATTGTTCTACAGCATTTTATATCAATGATTGAGCATCTGGGATGTTGATATTTGTGGGGGTCCTAGAATCAATTTAACAAGTGTAATCAGGATGACTAATTAAGTTTTTGGAGTGTTAAAAGCTATATGCAAATGTTTTGACTAGGAGGGTTGTTGCCCCTAACCCCTGCTTTGGTCAAGGATCAACTTGTTTTCAAAGTTTTTCCACATTATATGATATAAATGTGAAAAAGGTACAAAATATTTTTAAAAAGAAAACTAAAAATTAAATATATCAAAATGTTAAGATGATTCCTAGTTGTGGAATTATGGATACCCCTTGTTTGCTATTTTTTCTACTTTTTAGTGTTTTCCAAGTCCTATACTAAGCATGTATTACTTTTACAATCAAGAAAAAAGTTACTTTAAAAATTACAGGTTAGGTGAAACTGGCTGTGTACAATAATTATTTGTCCTCTCCTCTAACAGAGATAATCAAGAGCTAACAAAAGTACACTGCAGTTTTATTAAGACAGGTTCTAAGAATAACATCTTGCCCCTAAAATTCTGTGGTTCAAAGTTGAAATAAAGGTCAAAATGTATCAAAATCAACCTTTAGAGTCTCTGGTGTCCCTATGCAAGGAGATGCATTCATATATTAGCTCATTTGATCATTATAAATCTACTAACTTATAAATCATTACATTATCACCGAGGAAATAAAATATTGAGAATTGTCTCTAAAATATTCAAAGTTTGCAGGGTTCTACTAATGAACATTAACACACCGAATTACATGCAGAAAAGGACTGTGGAAGAATACATCTATGCCTAGTAACTACAAATGTTACAGTTCTCCAGGAGTTTCTGTGTGCCTTTACATCGAGTCTTAAGCACATCAGAGGTGTGTCTATTTGCAAAGGGACAAAATAAAAGTATAGTAAACAGTTTTACAGTTTTTTTTAGCACATTTCTAGCTAAAATTTCCATTTTCCGAACAGTAGTAGAATGAGTAATTCTGAAGGTCATGAGCCTCAACTTGAACCCTTAACGGGGGAAAAAAACCCAAGACATTACTCTCTAGTACTATACCTGAGAACAGCAAGTTTTCTCAACCACCCGCCAGTTAACAGGATTACTCTGATAACTCTTAGAACAATTCTCAGCGTGGGTATAACAGAAGTGACATTAACCCTGGGCGAGAGCAGCACGTGTAAGCCATACTATGTGATTCGGTGTAGGGAACAATCCCATAAGGACGGAACACGGAAAATAAACTGGAGAAAGAAAAGACTTTTTAAGATCATAAAAGAGAAACGATTTGTGAGTACCTACAATGAAAAAGAAGTCAGCTTTCCTTACTTAGGCGGAACCTTCTCTAACTCGCTACAGTTCAGCCGGAGAGGCACGGAATCACTTTCACTTCCTTGATAACTTCTTCCGGATTAGCACTGATTCCCGGCTCCACCTCGGTCTCGACAAGAGAATGACAGCCAGAAAGAAAAAAAAAGGAGAAAAGTTCCCCTGAAGCGACCTCACAGCGTACTCACCCAGAACAGGAGCCAAGGCACGGGTTACGTTACAAGGCGTGCGGGAGGGGGCGTGGGAGGGGCGGGGGTGCACGGCTGTGGGCTCGGAGGGCAGAAAGTACCGGAACTCCCCGCAGCGTCCACCCAGGAATCCTGGGAGTTGTAGTTTACCTCCCGACAGGCGCCGTGCTCCCACACTCTGGGCCGAAGGTGGAGGTTTGGTTTTCAGGTTCAGGAAAATCCATGAAAGAGTTTTCTACAGTTTATTTCTTAATTTTTCCTAAATGTCAGAGTTCTGGGTCAGACTTGAAAACACTTTAAAACAAGTCCTTGGCAACTTCCAAGTTATTCTTGGTGACCTTGTTATCCCTCTGGCCATAATCTTGGGACCAGAAGGGTATATAATCTACAGTTTTGATGAAGAGATCAAGATTTACGATATATTAATGTAGTTACAAGAATTTCCTTATATATGGAAGCAGTAAAGTGGTTCCTTAATTTCTTTTATGAAGATCCCCCTTTTCAGCATTCAAAAATTTAGGGGATTCTGCATGTTAATAGCTGTACTTTCAGCTTCCATTGCCTGAGAAAATACCTAATGACTAGATGAGTGTATAAATTTGTATTTTTAAAAGTCATAATGGGATCCAAAGTATAGACTGTGATCCAAAATCACAAATCAATGATTTTATAGATGTTGCATGCACATACAGAATTTAGGAGCTCACCTTAGGTTCATAGATTGTAAATGACCAATTAAGTAAAGAATTTAAAAATCCAAATAATTCCAGGAGAATGCAAACATATTACCTTACTTTAAATATTCCAATGTGAGACAACCTTTAGTAACCACATTTACAAGTCATCTGACCTGTGTGCCTCAATATTTCTTCCTAAAAAGCACAGGCAAAAAGGATCTCATATTACCAACTTCCCAGAATATTTTCTTAGGTTATGACTGTACATATAAGAAGGAGAACTGGCCATAAAGGTGAATATCTTTATTACCTACTTAAAAATATTTACTTCTATCAACATGTTACATACTATTCTATATAATTTAAACCTATAAATTCATTTGATCCTTACAACAACCTTAGAATACCCATTTTTCATAAGTGAAAACTAAGGTACAGAGACCTTTAGTAACAATTTTTCCAAGATAAAAGAACTAGAAGTAAGTGATAGAGCAGACATGGCAATCGATTTGTCTCAATGATCTGTGGGAGGGAGGGAAGGGAGGGAAGGGAGGGAAGGGAGGGAAGGAAGGAAGGAAGGAAGGAAGGAAGGAAGGAAGGAAGGAAGGAAGGAAGGAAGGAAGGAAGGGGTGGGCCCTGGCTGGTGTGGCTCAGTGGATTGAGTGCCAGCTTGCGAACCAAAGGGTCAGGTGTGATTGCCAGTCAGGGCACATGCCTGGACTGCGCCGTGTAGAGGTGCAATGGGGAGGCACATGAGAGTTGCGCGAGAGGCAACCAATCAATGTTTCTGACCCTCTTCCTCCCTCCCTTCCTCTCCAGATAAGTAAAATCTTTTAAAATAATTTTTAAAAGATTGTATTTATTTTTACAGAGGGGAAGGGAGGGAGAAAGAGAGGGAGGGAAACATCAACTTGTGGTTGCTTCTCATGTGGCCCGTACTGGATATCTCGCCTGAAACCCAGGCTTGTGCCCTGAGTGGTAATCGAACCTGCAACCCTTTGGTTTGCAGGCTAGCACTCAATCCACTGAACCACACCAGCCAGGGTGGTTAAATAAAACCTTTTTTAAAAAAAGAAAGAAAATACTCATTCAGTAAATAGTGAACACCAGTTATGTGCTCCTTACTGTTCTAGACATAAGAATTTAGCAATGAGTAGAAAAGAAAAAAAAATCTTTGTCCACATAGCACTCATGTTCCAATAGGAAACAAATTCCAAAAGACCGTACAAATCATTCTCCTAAATTACACAACAAAATCCTTTATTTCTTTATTTTGATGTGGGTAGATATAAAAACTCTTGTATATAATGCTTTAATCTCCAGACTGCTAAGGACTGAACTGTGCCCCACCCTCACCTCCAAATTCAATATATGGACGCTAACTTCACTGTGACTCTACTGGATATAGGGCTTTTAAGGAGGTGATTAAGGTTAAATGATATCATAAAGGTAGACCCCTGATCTGATAGGATCGATACCCTTATAAGACACCAAAGGGCTTTTTTGGTCAGTCTCTGTCCTCTCCCCAACCCCTGCCAAGCACAAAGAGGTCATGTAAACACACAGCAAGATGGCAACTAACTATAGACCAAGAGAAGAGGCTTCGGAATGAAACATACCTTCCCAGCCCTGGCTGGTGTAGCTCAGTGGATTGAATGCCGCTGTGAACTGAAAGGTCACACTGGTTCAATTCCCTGTTTAGGGCACATGCCTAGGTTGTGGGCAGGTTCCAATATGGGGGCATGAAAGAGGCAACTGATTGATGTTTCTGTCATACATCAATGTTTCTCTCCCTCGCTTTCTCCTTCCTTTCTCCTCTCTGAAAATATATAAATAAAATCTTAAAAAAAAACAAAACCATACATTGCTAACACCTTGATCTTGGATTTTCTAGCCTCCCAAACTCTGAGAAATAAGTTTCTGTTGTTTGAGCTACCCAATAGATGACATTTTGTTATGGCAGCCCAAGCAAACTAAAACACATATACAAAAATTTATTGAAATGATGAAACTTTATGAACTTTGTGTTATTCCTTAATTTTTAAAAATCCCTTAAGACATTTACGTTTGGTACTATAAATACTACTTTCTTCTCCATGTTTTAAGGAAGAAACTAATGTGATATATTTATTAATAAGCAAAGATAGCCACAACATATTAAGTGAAAGAGGGTGTTCAAAAATTCAGCAAACTATTTCATTTTAAAAGCCATATGTGATGCATATATATTTAAAAGTCAGGTTGAATTATAGGTAATATTTTTCTCCTTATGAAACAGGGTGCAGCCCAGAGTGGGGCCCCAAATAGGATTTGGAATGGGGTCCAGAACTCAAGGTGTCCAGGAAATATTAGAAAGATATATAGGATGTCCTCACCCCTTCCCCCACCCCCCACCCCTACAGGTGTGAGTTGGGGGAAGGGACACATGGAGCAGGGCCACTGAAAGCTGTTTTGAACAGCAACAGTTTTACAGCTAACCTCTGGCATGGTCAGTGAACATTTCTATAACTTTTAACTGGTCGCATAGATATGTTAAATAGCTGTGTCCATGCTTTGAGCCAGGGGAATGGAAGTGACTTCCACCCAAGATGTAACTGGGGTCAGGTCCCCCAGGTGATAGTGCCTGTGTGAGAGCTTGGAGTAGACTGGTTTCATGACAAGGGGCCACCCCTGCCCAGACTCACAATGGTAGCCCAGTAAAGCTGGAAGAATACAGGAGTGCTGGCAGGTATAGCTGATCGTGGGAGGAGTCAGAAATGGGACTGCAGAGGAAGACTGGTGTGGGAATTTAAACCCAGACCAGCAGCCATTGGAGGGAGAGCCACGAAGTTTACAGAGTGGGGACCCCCGCACCTTTAGTAGGGGGAATCACCATGCGGCTTTAGCAGAGAATCGCCACTCAGCTTTGGCAGAGTGGCAACCCCCCACACCTTAGTGAGGGAGAACCACGGGGCTTTGCCAGAGTGGGGCCCCCCGCAGCTTTGCCAAGGAGAACCATACAGTTTTGCCAGAGTGGGGACCCCACAGCTTTGGTGGAGGGGAGAACCACATGGCTTTGGCCACAGTGGAGACCCCCACAGTTTTGCAAAGGAGAACCACTCGGCTTGATCCTGGCCGATGACACAGCTGATGGTGTCAGGAGCCTGAATCTACTTCTTTTCCTGAGTTATGGTGCTCCAAATCAGGGCAGAGGGAGAAGGAAGCAGTGTGTGTGTGTGTGTGTGTGTGTGTGTGTGTGTATCCTAAAGGACTTTGATATTTTAATGAAGGCATTAGGTCACTACTTTAAGTCTGTATAGCTTTAAATAAACATTTCCTGGCCCTGGCTGGTGTAGCTCAATGGATTGAGTGAGGGCCGGGGAACCAAGCAACCACGGTTCGATTCCCAGTCAGGGCACATGCCTGGGTTGCAGGCCAGTTCCCAGCAGGGGACCCACGAAAGGCAACCATACATTGATATTTCTCTCCCTCTCTCCTTCCCTTCCCCTTTAAGGATAAATTAAAAAAAAAAAAAACATTTCCTTTCCCGTTCATGGATCTCTGGCACTGAGGGACGTCTTTCCTCTGGCTGCAGACAATGTGAACCTAGTAGGGGGTCCTTTTGGTAATAGTATATTGTACCCCCTTGGCCTCTGTTTGGTAACACTGAAAGTATTCTGGATTTCCTGAAGTTTTGTAATGAGTATTATTGTGGATAAGAAAGCTATAAAAGAAAATGTATTCTTTAATGTTTGAAAAAGACTTATGAAAGTTATTTTTATTGAATTGTTTTATGAAGTTAAATAACTTCTAGCTCTTTTTGCCTGATCAACTACAAGGATGAAGACCACCCTCAGCAACCAGACTGTCAACATTCCAGGAAATGTTGACGTCACTCTGAAGGGATGCAGTTATTGTGAAGGGCCCCAGAGGCACCCTGCAGGACTGTAATTACATCAGTGTAGAACTGAGTCTCCTGGGAAAGAAAAAGAAGAGGCTCTGGGATGACAAATGGTGGGGAAATAATATGGAACTGGCTGCTGTTCAAACTATCTGCAGTCATGCACAGAACATGATCAATGGTGTTATACTGGGCTTCGGTTATAAGATGAGGTCTGTGAATGCTCACTTCCCCATCAATGTTGTTCTTCAGGAGAATGGTTCTCTTGTTGAAGTCAGAAATTTCCTGAGTGAAAAAATACATCTGTAGGGTTTGGATGAGGCCAGGCATTGCTTGTTCAGTATCTCAAGCCCAGAA